ATTGAGTCCAATTTCCAGGCCCAAAGGGTGACTAGAGACTATAGTTTTGGAGGTCTCACAATTCTCTATCAGACAAGTAAGCCTCATCTTTTTTATGATTTTGAGTTTTGTTCCACATTTTTCTCTCGTTCTGTCCAGGATCTCCTATACTGATCGCTTTCTGAATGGTTAACAGTGGTAGCTGAGCACCATCTAGTTCTTTTGGTCTTAGAGTCATGTAAGCTCAGTTGCCCATGGTCCACTAGTCCTTGGGACAAATAATTTCCATGCATCTTTGATTGTCTTCATTCTACTTTGCTCTGGATGAGGAGAGATCAATTGTTACATCTCAGAAGGCTGCTTGCAAGCTTTAAAGACCCCAATCACTGCTTATCAAAGTAGGACTTAGAACAGTGTTTTTGTGTAGTATGTTACGCCGTTGGGTTTGATGTCCCCTGCAACTGTGGTCCCAAACCCATGGGCCCAGTAACACACTCAAGATGTTTGGCAGTAGCCAAGAAGTTATCATAACTTTGCCTGCTGTTAGCTCTATTATATATACGGACATTATTAGTACATGCATATACATATGTCGAAATATCATCTGTCAGACTTATATATGGCCATGGGTACATTCCCTTTTGTCTAGCCATATCTGATCATTTAGCCTGTCTACTGTGTATCCATCCATAGATAAATCAATACTTGTCTCTTACCTATCTAACAATTTTCCCTCCCCTCCTCTCCCAATCCTGGTAACCAACAAAGAAATTTCTTTCCATATGGAAACATTTCCTTGACTTTTTACAATAGTGGGACTCATACAATGTTTGTCCTTCTGTGAATGACTTATTTCACTCAGCATAATGTCCTCCAAGTTCATCGCCATTATGAGGTGTTTCATGGATTCTTTGTTATTCTTTAGTGTTGTATAACATTATACTGTGTATACTATACATACCATACTTTGGTTATTCATTCCTCTGTTGATAGGTACTTGGGTTGTTTTCATCTCTTTGCTATTATGAATTCTGCTGTGGGAACATGGATGTGCTTATATCTATTTGTGTCTCAGCTCTCACTGCTTTAGGATATATGTCTAGTAATGAGATTGCTGGATCAAATGGTATTTCTATTTCTAACTTGTTAAAGAAGCACCATACCATTTTCCACAGTACATGTATCATTTTACAGTCCCACCAGCAGCAATCTCACCACATTCTAGCTAGCATTTGTTATTTTCTCTCTTGTTGACTTTGTTAGTATTGCTGGGGTGAGATGATATCTCATTGTTGTTTTGACTTGCATCTCTCTAAATGCTAATGATTGCGAAAATTTCTTCATGTTTGTTGGCTGCCTGAATATCTTCTTTGGTGAAGTACTGTTCATGTCTT